AGTGTTGGGGGGGGGCGTACTCTGATGTTCTGCATGCCTTCGTTGTTAGACCATTGACCACGCGTCCTCGAGAGAACGGAGCATTGTTCCCATAGGACCGATCACCGATGGCCAATCGTTCCTTCCTACTTTGCCTAAGGTGGCTCAAAAACGTTTCCCCTACCCTATTTATCAACATGGTGCTGGGAGTGTGTGTGTCAAAGGAGACAACCATGCATCTCCGTTGAGACGGAGTTCCGGTTCTTTTCGAGCTCCTGCTGACGGCTTGACTGCCGGCGTGCGCGATTTTGGAAGGAGGGGTTGGGGGCGTGCGCTTTACCTCCTCAAGCGTGGTAGCGGAAGATAGCTGCTTCACGGCCCACGTAGGGTGGTCGAACGTCCTGGGCTTGGCCGCGGTAACCGTAGCTCCAGGCACGGCAGAGGATACGGCACCCCTGTAGGTGTTGTGCGGACGGTATTGTAGGCGCAGAGCCGGCAGAGATTCAGCGCGCGAGGTCGAAGGCAAGAGTCGTCGGAGTTGCGACGATGGCCTCGTTAGATGTAACGAACGCTGTTGATAGAAGCGTCAGACTGGAGCATCAGCCACGGGCAAGTTTGAACGTTGTACAGCCACACAAACTCCCGTTCCAAATTGAGAACCGGTACCGGCTCGGGGTCACCGACGACAAGGATGAGGCGGGTTTGTACCGCGTTTGGACAGGGTAAACGCATGCGTAGGCTACCGCAGTATGTACTACAAGCCGACCGTTGAAAAAGGAGTGGCGTACATAGCGCAAACTGCCGTGTAGTCTACCCGAGAGAACAGTGCAGCGTGCGAGCGGTAACGATGCAAGCGTCTGGTCGTCGCCAAGAACCGCACCTTCGGTAGAGACGAAGCTTTCGACCCCGTTCGATTTTTTTTTTCTCCATGCCCAGCCCCAGCGCGTCCAAATGCCGCATCACCTTGGCGTCGACAGCGATCTATGATGCGACACGAAAGCATCGGCGCGGGTTGCCTCAGTTGGGAACAAATAATAGAAAACTTCTCTTCCTGGAGTAAGTATAATAGCGCCCTGTTGATGTGTGCAGTAGTCGGCTGTGCATGTTCTCGTTTAGAGCCCATCATCCGTTCCAGTGCGACCTATCTGGGGTGTATACAGATGGTGAAGAGCACGCTGACCTTCGCCCTTCGAAACATGAACCCTTTGGATGCACATGCCAAATCAACAACGTGGTGTGGAAGGATGACTGCCATCGGTAAATATCTACAAAGGCTGCGGTGGCTCTCTTGCATACTCTGTGGCATGGCGGGACTGTCAACCACCCGACCGACCTCCACCTTGCTGATTCCACACACCTGTTTGAATTGCTGCCGCTTGCTGATTTCCGGTCCTGCTGGTTCCGTAGAAAACACGCGAACAGCAGTGCCACCGCTGCTTCCCGTCCATGCTCCCTGCGGCTGTCGGCAGCTCAATCGCAAGCCGCCAGTTGCGGACACTTGACGTGGACGACATCGCGCGAAGCCTGATCGAAACATTTTGGCTAGACCGCTCTCGAGCTGGTTTGTCGAGCGCACGCAAGAGCGGATCAACGCCAGATTGGAGGCAGTTGTCTCCAAAACCCAATTACCAGCGGGGCAGCATGTATGTGTGCGTGTCAGCTGGCAATCCACCTTGCAAGTGCAGTACGGCAGTGCTGCTGTGGCCGTGGAACAGGGAACGGTTTGAACGTAACGCAGCGGGTGCTGCGCAGACTGTGCTGGGGGAGGCGTGAAATGTGATCGACGGAACTCCCGGTTTCCCCGTGAGCCTCTCCCATCTCGACCTGCCACCGCCACCCCCACCGCTGGCACTGACTGCCTGGGCAACTGCTCTGCCTGGACAGATCAGGTACGCTGATTGCCACTGCTTCGCACTTGCTTGATGCACTTCGCACCTCCATTTGTATCGCGTATCGATGCATCAAATCCCGCAAATGAGCACTTGGGAACTTGGGAATTATGATCCGAGATCCGGAACTAGACTACACTGCTTACAACAACACCGCCTTTTTTGCACACCTTTTCGGACTACTTTGTTCGTGCATGCAACACATCCATGCAAACAGCTCACGCCTTGCGCATGCTGTCCGTACACGTTTGTTGGGAGCAGGGGTAAGCTTTGGCTAACTGGTAGCATGTATATTGATTGTAGTCGGTGGCTTATTGTGATAACTTGGCACTCACTGCTTCGCGGCTACACGAGTATATGCTGCGTTTTGTGTGCTTTGTTGATTCGTGATCTGCGGGGAGACCTACACCTGGTGACCGTGACCTTGCTGTACGGGGATACCTTGTGCCGAACGTATAAGCAATTGCTGGATGCGCATGGGGATCACGCGCCAACAAAATAAACGCGACTCACAGAAGAAACAACACCGAACGTTTCACATTTTCCCCTAAATATGTAGTGTTGCGTTCACTCTGGAATTTGAAACCGCGATTGTGTTTGAAAACCGACCGAGACTAGAGGTTCAGTACATGGGCGTCACAAAAAAGCTGCAACAGCAGGGTTTGGGTTGTTGGCGAGGGAGAGGGGATCGATCCCATGATAAAATTGAGGTGACGCACCACCGCGGAGGGCGCCTTCCGTGTAACCCCACATCGTAGCTCCGCAGAGGCAAAGGCAACACCATACGGCTTGCTACCGGCGGTTTTTCCGTGCAGGACGTTGTGACCAGCGTGACTAAAAACTAAAAACTAACGGCATTGTAGAACATCCAACAGACACCGGGGCGAAAAAAAAAATGATCTGGCTGCGCGGAACAAAATACTTCACACAACATCCATCACACGTGTGTCTAACGGATGTCTACATATCCAACCACTGGCTCATGCGCGCCTCTTTGCGTCTATCCAAGCCATTCGTTCACCAGACAGCTGTACCTATGTACTGCGGTAACCTGCAGGGTACAAGGTACCAGGTGCTTGGGGCGCGAATATTGGCATATGCTACGGCTGAATGTACATGTATGTGCTGCTAGATGACACCACTTTTTCTCTCTCAAGAGTTTTCTTCCGTGGTCAGGCCATCACCCCCAACCAATTGCCCTCGCTCCGTTTGCAGTACTTGGCAAGAACCAAGGGTTGCGGGTGTCGGGTCGGCTCTGTTGTAGAAAATGGAGGTGCTGTAGATTACTTGATACTTTTACTAAATACGTAGGTTGGGGTGGGGTTAAGGTCGACCTTGTTGCTACCAATTTTCGGTTGAACGAATCCGGCGCGGCGACGCACGTAGACAGAGAGTGGTTGGAGTTTAGGTGTGTCGCGCGTCAGTTGTCGTGCCACGACTACTGAAGTCGCGACTTGCAGAATTTGTCGTCTATAAGGTGTATTTTAGAACTACAGCAGTAGATCCTTTCGCATGTTTGCTCGGCCTTTCAAACGTATTTTTGGCCGGCTTTTTCTTGGAATCGTTTGAGATTTGAATTATCTTTGAACTCCTTCGTTTTTCGTTGCGGCGTGCAAAGTTTTGAATGTCCGCGTGTATTCTTTGCCCATTCGGCTGTACTGTCTGTGTAGCAACAGACCCAGCACGACGTACCACCACATCCAGCAAGTCAAGGCTACCATGTCGTTTGATCAAAAATCGAGTATCGCATACATTGTAGAGAATATTATTCGGGGACATGGACTATCTATTTACTTGAAATCGCGACCGAGGTGCTGAAGAACACCCCTACTGTATTGTTGTCTTCGGCCCGTGTCCTCTCGTATCTTCATGTCGCAATTTTTTACAAGCGTTCTCATGGTTAACGCGTACGCATACTCCATTCATGATTCTCACAAGTTGTATGTCCGAGAAGCACTCGCCGCCGCCAGCATGTTCGGCGGCGAAACACCTCCCGACGAAACGGTTTCACGAACCGGATCGTCACCAACACCGCCACCAACACCGATCAAAGTTGTAAGAAGTTTGGCTGGACAGAATCATCGTTTTTGGGCAGGGAGGCAAGTTTGTGTAGGAGGCATCCTCTGCCAGCAGTAGTCCGGTGTTCTTGCCTCACGGTCTGTACCTCGTGTGTATTTGTCCTTGTGCCTGCCGTGGCTGTCGTCGTTCTCTTGTGTCCGTTCCCGTGTACGCATCTTTACCGATGAAGCGGGGGGTGGCATGACCCAGGGGTCTAGGTTCGGGGGAAGGAAGAGCCCCAGCCCCGGCCCACCCCGCTCGGAGAGTCTTCAGCAGCAGCCGTGGCAGCAACCTGGACCGCCTGTGGTTGGGATGGCGTCGCTGACCGAACAACAACACCAGCAGCAGCAGCAGCAGCAGCACCCAGCGCTTTTCCAGCAGCAGCACCCAGCGCTGGTCCAGCAGCAGTCAGGGCCACTAGCGGCGATTGGGATAGCAGGAGCCGCCGCGCTCCAGAACAATATGGTGGCCCATCCGCAGCAACCGCTCCCCGTGACTCGAGGCCCCGCGGTGGTGGTGAGTCCGCGAGCACTGCTAGCGGCCCCCGGGGCGGCAGTGCGGGGTCCAGGGAGCCCTTCGCCGCCCTTGTCGCTCGAAGGGTGGCCCTCTCTGCAGGCGGCGATGGCAAGCTTGGCCCCCGGGGCAACGGTCGGAGGCCCTCCTCGCGCTCTTGCGAGTCCTCCGCCACCCCCAGGAGTCATTGGCGGGGCTTGCCAGCAGCAGCAGCAGCAGCAGCAGCAGCAGCAGCAGCAGCAGCAGCAGCAGCAGCAAGCGCCGTCGATGCAGATGCAGCCACACATGCAGCAGCATCACCCGCAGGTTCGAATGCAGCCATATTTCCCGCCACAGCAAGTTTTCCCGCAACCTCAGCGGCAGATGCAGCCTTTCCCGCAACAGCAACAGCAGCTGATGCCGCCATCCAGCATCCCCATGGGGCCTGCGATGTTCAACCACCCCCCCGCGCATCACTTTCAGCACGTGGGCATGGCTCCGGGTTTCGTGCCCATTCAGCAGCAACAACAACAACAACAGCCATTCCAAGGGCAGATGGTGGGGCCGTCTCAAGCCTTGTACATGGCGCAGTTGCCGGGGGGGGCGCAGATGGGGCGGGATCAAGGGCCGGCTGCCAACGAGCAACACACGATGTGGACCCTCAAGCTGCACAGGCGGAGGATTGCGGTGCTGAAGAAGCGGCGACGGGCAGAGGCGGCAACCGGGGCCCAGCCAGCAGCAGTCGCGCCGCATCCGGGGGAGACGGACGGGGCGGGGTCTCCTGATTGTTCCCCCGCGTCGCCCAGTGGGTTCCGCCCCTTGCCGCTGGGCTCGAGCGTCGGGGATGACTTGGGACACGTTTCGAGCAAGCTTGACCAATGGACTGTATCTCTCGGGGGAGCGCTTGCCTCCAACACGGAGGTCAGTAACTCTTGCCGTGGGTTGTGTTGTTGGCGTGTTTTGGTTCTCCATCGTTTTTTCTTGCACGCGCGTGGTGGTGGTGGTGGTGGTGGTGGGGGGGGTGCTAAGGGGAGGGGGATGTTTGCTTCTCGTAACACCCTTGGGAGGCAGTAGTAGATTCGCCTTTTCGGTATAATCGTCCCCCTTTTCCTTCTTCTAAACCGGCATTTGCGCTCCGTCTGACCGGAAGGTGTGCGATTACGTCACGAAAGGCAAGTATGGCGTGGTTCTGAGCCTCGGAGAGGACCCGGAACCGCCGGTGGTCGACTTCGGCGACGTCGCCACGGTGGTTCCGTCTCCCCGAGAAGGAGGGAGGGGGGGGGGACGCGGACAGCAGCCTCTAGCTGAAAACGGGGAGGACCAAGCGGCCGAGCGACCCTCCGAGTGGGGGGCGACGCAGCACGACGACTCCGTGTGGGGGGCGGGGTGGGGGCAGAACGGACAGCAGACGCTCGGAAACGGCGGGATGCAAGGGCGAGAGGACCGGGACGAGGAGGAGGAGGACGGCGAATACCTTCCGCAAGGGTGAGAAGTTTTTTTTTGTTGTAGTTTGTCCTCCTCCGGTGAACAGAGGGCTTGCTGGTGTTGCTCCGCTACTGATTGGTGCGCAAACAATCAAACGCGCTTGTTTTCGCCGTTTCCTGGCTAAATACCCAACGTCTGGCGCGCTGGTGGAGTGAATGAGTAGAGAAGCAGGGGTGCAGGGCAGGGCGAGGGGGGTGAAGAGGGTGAGAGGTAGCCAGTGACGCCTTTACCGGTTAAACCTTTTGCCACCCGTGCCTCTTGCATCGTGTAAAGCCTTGGCATGGCGCAGTCTGGACGATATTGAGAACGACGATGTCAGTCGATGCATGTAACTACCCGAATAAAAACACGCAAGTCTTGATTATGCTCCGCCGTGCAATACCACCGCTACATGCATCAATAGCTGTACAGTCGCCGTAGACACCCACATTGCGGCTTACTTACTATGTATCCAAAACACGATTCCTGGCAGTCGATTGATTTTAACACCTCCGCCGCCGCCGCTCCCCGTCCGTGTGCCCGATCGTCCCTCTGCCGCCCAACGCTCATCACAGATACAACTTTTCGAGAGAACGGCGGGCGGTCATGCACCCCAAGCAGCAGCAGCAGCAGCAGCAGTCTTCTTCAAGGGGTCGAGGGCAGGACGGCGTCACGGGCAGCACGGGAGGGGCCGCCAAGGTCGAAAGCACCCCCAGCATAAGCTTCGGTGATTTCGAGGGACGGGCTGCTCACTGGGAGGACGAAGAAGACGACGATGACGATGAGGACGGCACCGGTGGGTCGACCGGCTCGGGCAAGGATGACGTCGCTTCCGGGCCTGGGGACGCGTTTTCTCCGAGAAAGGGGGACACCCAGATGGGGGAGGAAGAGGGCGGCGAAGGGGAGGAGGAGGAGGAGGAGGAGGAGGAGGATGTGGCGAGCGTGGTGCGGACGCTGGAGTTGAACAACTTCAGCAACAGGCGTGTCTTCTTAGAGGTGAAGCACCCCACGTTTTTTGTGTTCCGCGTCTCCTCCCCCCGGCTTCTTTTTTTGTCCTCGGCTGTCGTCCTTTTGCGGTGGGAGGCGCGTGCGTGATGAGCGTGTTTTGGGCACCCCGGCAATAATATTACCGCACAAGCACGCGGAGGAGACCTAACGGCTTACAGGACGTATCTCGCTGGGTTTGCGCTCCGTGTGCGATGCTTGGCGCACCAACAGGACTTACGGCTGATGCCTAGGGACGATGCGGGAAGAGCACCCCCCTTCATCGTGAGGATAGGCAACGAGCTAGACTCGTCTCTGCGGCACACGCAAGAGGAGGAGGGGGGTCGCAGACGGTACAGCTTGGCACCGGGGACCCACTTGGAGGTGGAGGTGGAGTTCAACCGTCAAAATCAGGTACAACTAAATGTGTCTTTCGGTTGATGTGATTGTGGAAATCAATCACCAAAATCAGACACATGCTGTTCTTTGTTGTTGAACAAATCGTCTGGTCTGGGCTCTACGGAGCTGGACGCACCACGGTGTGGAAACTGTCCCCCAACCTTGACGGGGTGTACGCCTGCTGCTCTGCCGTCCGTGTGCGTAGCTCTCTATCCGTTTCGCTGTCTCTCCATTCCGCCATTCATTCCTACCGTCTTCCTCACGCTCGCGCCCATCTGGCTGTCTTTTTCTGTCTCCGACGCATTCCTCGACCACAGGCAGGGTTCTGCGGAAAGTGGCTGACGCTCGCGCTCAGCGTCGTCGATCCCTCGCCACCGAACCAGCCGCTCCTGCACCTCGTGGATCGCGTAGAGCGGACGTTCGTGCTTGGAACCAGGTAACCACACCACTGCTGTTCTCCATTTTCACCTCTTCCACCACGTGTCGCATAGGATACCACGAGGGCGACGTCTAGAACCGCTGCTGGAAGGTTCCATGTGTGACATGATATGATTCCGCTCGTGCTGCAGTCTGCGTCGAGCAACTGGCCGTTGGTTGGGGGGGGGGCGGGGTGTTGTCACAGGATGTATGACGCGCGTCCCCCTTCCTAGCCAGCACCGGCAGAGGGAGAAGATGTTCGAGGGGAAACAATGAGTGCCACGGGGGGCAACAGCTCGAGGAAGGGGCGATAGAAACTGCTGGCCGCGCAAACCCCACCACTCCGTGGAAGTTCATCTCATCGTTTCGGGCCTCTCGGGCATCCACGAGCAACCCAGTATTAGGAACAGCAGCAGTTGAGGAAGCTACATTCGTACTCGGCAACCTGGCTTGTACGTTTTGATGGGAAATCCGCCCATCCGAAAAAGAAAAAAAGACGCACACACACACACAGGTCTAACTACAGCAGGCAGGGGGGGGGGGGGGTGTACTCATAGTCGTGCATGCCGTAGTCGTTTGACCATTGACCTCGCATCCCTACAAAGCCGGGACGGAGCACGCCGGGTTCTCACCGGACCAGGCTCTCACATCACCAAGCGCGAAGCGCCGTGAGGTATTTGGCGAGTCGCATGAAGGGTGAGCTGCATCCTGCTAAGGGTGTTCGGCATCTTGTGCTTACTTCCTTGCGTACGGATGACAGCTGCGTATGACTTAATTTATTTTCTGGTGCTTTCACTTCCAGAGACAGTTATAAGCACTGTGTAACTGCCTCGAGGAAGCTTGACCATTTTAACACAACGTGGTGCGATCATCCCCCGTTGCGCGGAGTGAGGTTTCTCGACCCCGCACAACATGATCTACTCGACCACCATTATGGTTACCGCCAAAAAAAAAAAAAAACGAGGTAAAAAAAAAAAAAACGGTAACCTGGTTGCCGAGTTCACGAAGTGAATTGGCTTCTTTTACAACGTCTTTGCCAAGCGACGAAAACCCAACCCCGATGGCAAACACCGAGTGGGGGGCTTGTTTTACAACGTCGTTGCCAAGCGACGAAAACCCAAACCCCGATGGCAAACACCGGGGGGGGGGGGGAAGCAGGGGGGGGGGGGG